TAAAAATGGGTGCCCTGGAGGACATTATGCTGAGTGAAGTATCTCAGTCACAAAAGGACAAATACTGCATGGTGCCACTGTTGTAAAACAGGACTGACCTTGGGGTTGGGGCTGCCACTGTTGTAAAACAGGACTGACCTTGGGGTTGGGGGGAGACTGAGAAAGATGGGTTCAAGTGTCTACTGCATTGAAACAGAAGAGGGAGAAAACCATTTAAAGGGGATATGTGATTAGGTGTTTTTGTCATGGCAGGAGTCTAGAGCGAAGGCTACATGGTGGAGTGGACCTGGGGGAGGGATTGTAAAACAATGGAAGAATTTGTCTTTTACTTTTCCAAGAGGGTAGTGTACTAGGAGGGGAGGGTTGGCAGGGGAGAAAAATGCAACAGTGAATGAATGGAAATCCAAAGTCTCTGTAAATTTTTAGTGACATTAATAGTAATTTAAAAAAAAAAGAAAGAAGAAGAAAAAAAAATCCTTCTCTTAGTTGTAAATGTCTTACTCTTTTTTCCAGGATGTTACCTTATGGTTGTCTGTCAATTGGTGACTGTGTGGGACTTATTGAAGTGGTGAGAAATTCTCACACAATTATGCAGATTCAGTGCAAAGGTGGCCTGAAAGGAGCTCTGCAGTTCAATAGCCACACACTCCACCAGTGGCTCAAAGACAAAAACAAAGGAGAAATGTGAGGAGTTTTTTCCTATCTTTTCTTCCTATGTTAATCTAGGTTTTTGTTAGACATTTAGTGGTTGCATAAGTTTCTTATCATTAGATCAAAGAAAACAGTTGCACTTATGTTGGGGAAAAACCATATTCAGCCTTTGAAATAGTTGAGGTTATTGTGTTTAAATATCAGAATTGCTTGTAATTGAATAAAATCCTTACTGTTAAGTTTATATATCTAAAATGTTGTTGTTCTTAATTGCGTATTCTTTGTAAAAGAAAAAGATATGCATTGCAAATTTGGAAGTAACTTGGAATTTTTTATGTAAGTTACTTGAAAAAAACATTCATTTTAATGGAGTGGACATATTTTCTCACTATAATAAGAATTATGTTTTGGTTAAGAAATGTCTAGAAATTTCCTTAGAAAGCTTTAAGAACTTCAGAATCTTATATTTCCTGGGATCTTTGGATAAAATTATATTTCCTTCAGTGATTGTTTTCATGTTTTAAATGTAAAGTTTGACAGTGTATTCTCAGTTAAGCCTGGATCTTTCATTACCTCCATCCTACTTAGAGGTACTTGTTTGTTATTTGTAGATATGATGCGGCCATTGACTTGTTTACACGCTCTTGTGCTGGATATTGTGTCGCCACCTTTATTTTGGGAATTGGAGATCGTCACAATAGTAACATCATGGTTAAAGATGATGGACAAGTAATAATAATTGCTTTCTCTTTTTAAAAATGTTTTTAATGTTCTAGAAATATTGTATTTCTACATGTATCAGACTAATAACAATTTCTTATTTCTGAAAGCTGTTTCATATAGATTTTGGACACTTTTTGGATCATAAGAAGAAAAAATTTGGCTATAAACGAGAACGTGTGCCATTTGTTTTGACACAAGATTTTTTAATAGTCATTAGTAAAGGAGCCCAAGAATGCACAAAAACAAGAGAATTTGAAAGGTAATCTCAAGAAATCAAAAAGCACAAAATAAGAGTTCTTCATACTGTGAGAATAACTGTACATTTCTTACATTTTAAAAATAGATATTGTTAATTGTTTTAGCACAAACCAAGTATGTTTTTTATTTGTTTAATGGCTTAATACTTTATTTTCATGAAGAAATGGAAAAGGAAACCAGTTGTAAAAGGAGCAGATGATACAACGTGAGGATGGCCAAGTCTGACTTCTACCCACTTCATAAAGGGGAATTATCCCCATCAATAATATCCATAGTAGCAAATAGCTGCTTTGTCAGATATGCCCCTCAATGCTCCTATACCAATCATTGGATTTGAGACTTTACTCAAAGTTGTGGTACCAAGAGTGAGTGGGGCTTATTAGGTAAGTAAGTTGGAGAGGGAGAAGGCAAAGAATATCACCCAATGCAGCTTCAGGTTCCAGCAGTCCCAAGGCACAATTCCTCAACTAATCCAGGCTCTCGTTTCAGTTCAGCAGTCAGCTTTTCCTTCTTTCATTAGGCAAAAACAGCAACACTTTTAACTGTGACCTTTATTTCAGAGCTCCTCTGATTACACCTTGCCACAGTTTCTCCACAGCAATGCCACAGTGTGTCCACCACCATCACCAGGTCTCACCACCAGGGTCTTGCTCCAGTGTCCCTCAATCCCTGCTGCTCAGTATGGGAAGTAGCTCCTTCTCTTACCGTAGTTCTACAGCTGTTGATTATTTGCAAAACCGGATGTCTGCTGTTAGGCTAGCTAAGAACCAGAGGGTGCTAGCAAAATGGTCAGGAAAAGACAACTTTAAAGCTAACATCTCACCAGTTTAATGTATTACCTCAATTAAGAACTAAAAATTAAATGATCCTTAAATTTAATAATACATCAAAGATTATTATTTAATGCAGTTTAAATAATAGATATCTATTATCTTTTTGTTAACAGTATACATAAGACAACATTATTTAGATGCTGAATTTAAGAAAAGTCTGTAAACTCTGGTCACCCCATTTATTAATAATGTTCTTTCCACTTCTGGTGTATAGATGTCATAGACCTTGAAGTACTTAAAAAAAAAAACAAACCAACAACGCAATCCTTTTATAAAATTCTGTAATGTAAGCAGGAGTGTGTGGAGAGTCACGGACGATTTGCCATTACAAGATGGCGCCGACTTCCTGCCTCACGATTCGCCATTACAAGATGGCGCCGACTTCCTGCCTCGCCTTGTTTGTCAGAATCACACTTTAAGACCTTATTTGGGCACTGTGTTCTCATTGGTCGATGGCTCGCTCTCACGTGGGGTTAATGGTCCAGTGGAGGCATGACACATGAGACTGATGGGCGGAGACCTGAAGAGGGGATAAAAGGCTGCGAAATTTCCCTTTCGCTCTCTTGCTTTCTCTTGTCTCTTGCTCTTGCTCTTGCTCTTGCTCTTGCTTTCTCTTGTCTCTTGCTCTTGCTCTTGCTTGCTCTTGCTCTTGCTTTCGCCACCACCCTCTGTAACAGAACTCCTGAGTAAACCACTGTGAGAAGGAACCGCTGAGTGTTGTGTCCTTATTCCGGCGGGACCGGTGAGGCTCGCAACAGGAGTGGCATCCGCTTCCTAAACAACATGCCTCCAAAACTCTATAAACTTTTATAATATTGATAGTTCTAGTTGCTTCAGGCCTTTTGTTCATAGGGTTGCTATGAGTGGTGCTCAACTCGAAGGCAGTCGTCAACAACAATAATGTAACTTATTCCTGGTCCAACTCAAAATCCTAAAAGCATTCATATAAGACTAGTTTATTCATTTAACAAGTAATTATTAAACCTTGAATATGCTTGGCATTGTTTTACCAGTGAACAAATATACCTTATCTACATAGATTGCACATTTTGTCAAGTTAACAAGAATCAAAAGTTATTTGCAAGGAGAAAAGGGAATGCTTTGTTTTGGTGGGTTTTTTTATTTCCTTTTAAAAGTATTGTCAAAGAAGGCCTCAAACGATATGATAGTTATACTCAAGTTGGAAGTAATAATATCCATATGCTCCATATGACTAAATTGTGTTTATTACTTACAGGTTTCAGGAGATGTGTTACAAAGCTTATCTAGCTATTCGACAGCATGCCAATCTCTTCATAAATCTTTTCTCAATGATGCTTGGCTCTGGAATGCCAGAACTACAATCTTTTGATGATATTGCATACATTCGAAAGACTTTAGCATTAGATAAAACCGAGCAAGAGGCTTTGGAATATTTCATGAAACAAATGAATGATGCACATCATGGCGGCTGGACAACAAAAATGGATTGGATCTTCCACACAATTAAGCAACATGCTTTGAACTGAAGTGAGAACCAAGAATCTGAATGCCAAGTTGCTGGATTCTGCACTGCACTGTTACCTGTCAGCAGGCACAGACTGGTTGCATAGGAATTGCACAATCCATGAACACATTAAAATTTACAGCAAGAACAAAAATAAAATACTATATAATTTAAATAATGTAAATGCAAACAGGGTTTGATAGCACTAAACTAGTTCATTTCAAAATTAAGCTTTAGAGTAATGCGCAATTTCATGTAATGCCTTAAGTCCAAAAAGGTAAACTTTGAAGATTGTTTGTATCCTTTTTAAAAAAACAAAACTAAAAAAAAAAATCCCTGAAATATATAGAAATGATGGAGAAGGAAAAAGAATGATGTTCTTTTTTGTCTTGCAAATGTTCTATGTTTTAGAATGTGGCGTTTCCAACAAAATTACATTAGGTCCAAGTAAAGAGGTTAATGTTAAGTTACATAAAATTGGGGAGGAAAATGAAGAATTCTTATTTTTCCATTGCTGTTTGATTTCTAGTTTGAAGTGGATTTTTTTGACTCCTTGTATGATTAAGAAAAATGCTTGGGGTAGAAGGGACTCATGATTTCACCAGAGAGTTTTTCTTTTTAATAAACTTTTTGATGATTTGGGGTCTTATCTGCAAAGTTTTGGAAGCAGTCACAAATGAGACCTGTTGGAAGGCATTGTGGGTGAGTTTTTCTGGACAGTATTTAACGTATATGATCTTACTTGCCAGGGAATCTGGGCTCCCACAGAAACTCATCACAGAAGAAGATGGAGCAGGAAGAGTTCTTGCTCCAGAACTGTACAGTATTCAATTTAGGTGGATTTGGGTTTTTTCCTCCTGTCACAGTTGAACTGAATTCATTTTTCATGCATGTTTTCCAGAAAATAGTAGTGAGTATTAATGTTATTAAAAAGATTATTTTTTTTATAAAAGGCTATTTATATTATAGAAACTATCATTAATATATATTCTTTATTTACATTATCTGTCCCATAGTCATGCATTGTTTTGCACCCCAAATATTTTCTTGTCCATAACACCATGATCAACTTTTAGTCTGTGAGTGAGGCTCAGGCTGTATTCCATTCACATCAATGACCTGTGTAACTAGGTAAGGAAAATAGATTAAGCTTCATCCTCTCTCCTTTTACTTATATTTTTAATTCCCCGTCCTCCATCCTCTTGTACAGTTGAGAATGGCTCAATCATATCAAATTATTTAACAAAATTACACTATTTAGATTCTCTTCCTAGTTGCTTAAATCCCTCTAGTAGAGTATGCTCATGAATAATACTTGGTGAGGGAACAGAAGCCAGGAACTTTCTAACTTTTTAGCTATTAATCCATATCTCAATAATCAAAGTAGGATCTTAACAGCATATTAAGATCATGTCCCATTTCCAGGTGGTCAGGGCTCATTCTTCTATTTTATTAGATTGCATTTGAGCACAAGATACATTCTTTAACATTTTGAAAAACATTAACCCAAGATGTAGGGGTTAATGTTAGTCATCACTCTACAATCTACTATTTTACTCAGTATTTTAAATGAGTGATTAATGCCCTAGTAAATAGCTTTAGTAAATGTCCAGGTGCCATACCAAAAAAAAAAAAGTGCAATAATTTACTTAACATTTTCTAGATGAGGCATATTATTGGAGTAAAACTTAATAAAAAGTGCACATTATAGTCACTAGTAGCAGCATCATTTTTAAAATACTAATTTATGAAATCAGTTAGCTATAGAAGTTTTGAATAATGAACAAGGGACTCTGATACAAATACTTGTAATATTTGGCTCTTTTAGAACCTTTAAAGGGCATAATTACTGGAGACTTAGGTACTTCTCTAAAGCATGTATATAATATTGCCAGCAAGAAAAAGAAATTTGAAGATTGGGGAATTTATTTCTATAAACTGTCTTGTTGAGAAGAAACTTTTAAGCAGAAAGACCTTTTGCAGCTAAAGCTGATTTAATAACTTATTAAAACTTGGTCATTAACGTTTTGGTCTTTTAGATAGATATAATTAATACATACTAACATCCCAAACTTTTCTTATATGAGGGATTGATTATAAGGAAACTCAGTAAAATTGTTCAAATCTAAAAGGTCAGTGGTGGAAACTGAAGATGTTTGACCCGAGTGCCAAAAAAGCCCTTGTTTCCTTGCATAAAGAGTATATAATTTTACATTTTCACATCAGTCCAGATAGTTATTTGCTCTCACCCCTAGCCCGTGATCTCTCCATTAAAACACGAGCCATATAACATTTCATAAATTACATTTATTTTCAAGAGTTATTACAGCCAAATTAATTCTGAAGTACAGACAAACCCTGCAAAAAATATAGATTAAGGAATTTTAAAGCAAAGTAAACTTTCAACAAAAACAAGTAGAGTTAAAAAAAAAAAACAACCCAAGTAGAGTTTAGGCAAACAGCAGAACAATAAAACTCAGAATGCAAGGAAACAAAAATTGAACTGAATGCTCCATGGGTGGCTAGGATTAGATCAGATCAGTTACTAGTCAGGAGAGCAGAGGTGCTCCCAGTACTTCAGTACCAACCATGAGTCCCCGTGGGTCACCCACTCCTGTGAACAGCCATCAGGTTATACTCAACCAGTGGCTCTAAAATCTCCTTAAAGCACTTGAGAAATACTTCCTTTGGTGATTCTTTTGGAGAATAAAAAGAAGGCAAATTTAAAAGAAAAATATAACCAACCACAACACATTCTAGTAAGAATCAACTGTTTGAAAATCATGCTTTAATTTCTACCATATTCTCAACTATAGAAAAACATTTATTTTGAAGATTTTTAGACTGCTGTTAATTTGGAATCTATTAATCATATTGTGGAATTTAATTTTTTTTTTTAAAAAAAAGATGTTTTTAATTGGATTTTTTAAAGAATGGGATTTGGTTGCTATTTTATGACAGAACCTAAACTTCCTGTGGTTCTCAGTGTCCTGTGTACAACGTAGTGTCAAAGTAGTCAACTCTGAGGTTTTCCCCTTCTAATCTGCTTTATATTATAAGCCCATTAGGAAATGGGAACCTGGTGAATATATAATGAATTGTAAAATATTTTAATGTGTAACTTTTTCAACTGTGAAACTATTGGTTTTTTGATGAAAACAGCTGCTGATAAAATATTTTGTGTAAAGTGTAGTTTTTATTGATCAGGGAAATGATTACTTGATTAGAATGTATACACCCTCTTGGATTTGATTTTATTTTAATGGATTGGGAATTTTCACATCCATCTGTATTATTTTTCTTTCCATCAGAAATTTAATAATTTGGCATTATTTAAAAAATAACGAGCAACATCATTTTTTAAAAATTATGAGCAGCCTGTCTATTTTTAAGGCACCATAGACATTTTGCAGCATATAAACTTTGTTTCTTTTCCTAATGAAATTGTAAATTCATTTAATTCTTATTCTAATCAATAGCCCATGCTCACCACATCTTTGAAGAAATTTAATTTCTAGCATTATTTTAAAGCCAGCATGTTAACATATCTGAACATAATAAGTTACTGTTTTTATATCTGTACCAATTGCAAACCTGGGCAGGACCCGCATACTCAAAATTCACCTTAAAAAAATTATTTTCATGTCTAAGACATCACTAAAATGTTTCCGTTTAAAGACAGTATTGTGGTGTTGATAGATTGTGTGGTGCTTCTGCTATTTTAAAACAACTTTCGTACTTGAGACGTTTTTGAGATGAGAATATGGAGGGAGGGGGAGAAACAGGAAAGAGTTGTCTGAATTAATTCCATTCTTCATGTCCATGCTGCCGGGCACTGTGTATAGGAGAAGACTAAAAATTTTAAGTGTATATTGTACATACCATGAGGAAATGAACCCCTTCATCAAGGATGGGGTTATGAAAGCTGATCTCTAAAACTCAGCACAACAGGATCTAAGGATAATAATGCTTGGTGGCAGACAATACAGCTGGGCTGTTTTTAAAAATACACAAAACCGGGGTTTTTTAAAAATTATTACATTAAAAGTTACAAATGTATCTTATTTGCTATGATGTGGGAAGCCTTTTTCTTTTAAAACTTTTTTTTTCACTTTCTGGGAATATTATGGGGATTAAATTCAGTGCAACAAATAGACCTGGTAACATCAGATTGGTAATTCTTAGAAGGTTCTAGGTGATAAGAAACCAGATAATGAGGGAGAAACAGTCACAATTACAGTACTTTAAGTTTTGGCTTTACAGAGATTTTTGTAGAACAATCCTATCTTAAGGTGTTGGTTTTTTTAAAAAGTCAGAATTGGCACACCTTGTATTTTAATGGAATTGGAGACATTAAGGAAATGTTTGGCCTTAGGTCTTGGATTTAATGTCTAAAATCCATTTTCTTCTCTCTTCCATTACTAGTGCATTATGTATGTGTATATTTGTGTGTGTCTACTTGTACAGACTGCTAATCAACAGACTTCTAAAATGTGTAAACAAGTTTCTAAAATTCAGATGAGTTTAGGGTATACTAAGAGTTTCCCCAAGTTGAAATGTTAGTGTTTAAAGACCCTTACTTCACTAGAACAAAGGGCCTCATGTGAGGCTTCGTGATTATAAGAACCTGGAGAGGAGGTAGTCCTTGAGTCACTGGGTGCGGGTCTATAGCCCTTCCAGACCTGCAGTGCTGGCAGAGGTACCAGCCTCAGTGATACTAGAAGAAGCAGAAACAATCACGAGATCTACACGATGGCAGTAGTGTAAAGAAGAGACTCAAGGCAAGAAAGGAGAGGAATGACTAGCAGCTGAGCTTGCCAAGTGATGCTGTTGCGTTTTCTCTTTGACAGGTTCCTGTTGTATGAGAATTGAACATGTTACTTCTTATATAAAGTAGTCCCCTTTGAGATAAGTCTCTTTTTAGACATTGAGACCCCAGCTGGGTCCGTTCACCCATTGCATTTTCTTCATTTCTGCTTACATCTTTTGTTTGTTTATATCCTTCTTTCTTATCAAAGTATTTACAACAGTTAAAAAAGGGGGGGAAGACACTTATTTCATTCAAGTCTTTAATTTTTTTTAATCTATTTTACTTTTTGTACACTTTATTTTAAGTAGTGCAATATTATTCTTTCTTGGGTTTAGGTGTTTTAATACTTCAGCCATGCTAGTTAGTAGAAGATGGCAAATGAAAGCTGTGGAAAATTTTCTGGCCTCATTTTCACACAGCTACATATGAAAGTTAGGGTTTAGGAGTTATAAAACTCAGCCATCTACACTTAGATTAATTGGTTTTCCCAATCAACAGTGGATCCCATATTGGTAAGTTCAGAAACAGTGGATCCCATATTGGTAAGTTCAGAAAAGCT